TCTGTTTGTCCATTCAAAGATGTTTTTGGTGTCCATCAGTCTGTCTGTCCAAAGAGGGGATATTATTGTGTCTATCTGCCCGTCAAAGTAGGTGATGTTCTTGTAATCTTCCATCCTTCCAAAGCAGTGATGTTTTTGGTATTCAACGATCTGTCTGTCCAAGCAGGTGGTGTTTTTTGTCTGCTGTCCATCCGTCCAAGGAGGTAATGTATGGCTTCATCATGACAGTGGGCCGTTTTTTTTTATTTTATCGAGTTCCTTGGCAAGTCTACACAAGACGTGATGTGATGTCTTTGCCAAATGTCTGAATGAGATCAGTCAACGAGTGTCAGAGATAAGCTATTATTAGTATTTCATATAAAGCAACAATGAACTTGAACACAAAATTTGTTTCTTCTTTTTGAATGATCAAATAGAACTTGACTAACGCATACTTATTAACAGACAGGCCTCAGTGTAATAACTGCTAAAATTCAGTTGAGTGTTTGCACATGGACATCTGACAGACAGAACAAATCCATTTCAGTCTAATCAGATTTCAAGCTGGTGTGACATGCACGAAGAATGATACATCACAATCCACACAACTTTATAGCAGTGCAAAGATGTGCCCACAAGCTGAGAACATTATTTCCTGCAAGTCAGAGAACTGTCTCATGTTATTGAGATGGGAATTGGTCCGGGGAGGGGGGGGGTGTTAAGAAACCCTGATAATTAATGATGATTGGTAGTTAGCTCTATGAATGATGCAATGTGCAATTGGGGGGGGGGGGTGATTTTGTAGCATGCAATGAGTAGGTTGAACACAGAGGGTTAAATGGGATAGAAACGTTGGGGAAGTAGGAGGGAAGGGGGGGGGCACAATAAAATGAGACAGCACCTAATATTAGTTCTGCAGAGTACAACTGTGCATATTTATGACATACCCTGACAGCTGGTGGCAGCAAAACATATTGTTCCTTATAGGTGGAAAGAAACACAGATATTATCAAATTACCCTAACGTGGCCGGGGGGGGGGGGATTGTTACTGACCGTTGCACAATATGGGGAATACTTGAAATACATGGCTGAATTAAATTAAAATTTAAAGACAGTTTTTTTATAACAGTTAGTCAAATATGTTCTCAACTTTGGTCAGTATTTTTATTTGGTCAAGGCAAAATAGGGCAACACTTTTACTTCAGTCTTCTGCCTTTAACGGGTGGTACAGCATCCAACTCTAAGGGTGGAAACAACTACCTGTAACTTTGAATAACTATTGAAATACACATTATTAACCAATTGTGTGAGGTGGTAAACTAACAAATTAGATAGCTATTAAGAAGTTAAAAATAAGTACATGTAGCAGGCAAACAAATACAATCAATAACTACATGTATATCAATGAACTAACCAACTAACTATATAACATCTTAACTAACAAGAATAAATAACTAAAAAGATACCGATACATGATATATATACGGTAACTACAAATCAAGTAACAGTACTATAAGACCTACTTTTTTTACGATTTTACTTAAATTTATTTTAACTAGTATAACTGATACATTGTTTCCACCATTATCCGCAGCCACCAAACAGACATAGAGGTGAAGATAAAGAAAATAACCAAAGCAATGGGGTCACATACATCTATAAATAACATACTGGAAACGTAAACCATAATATCACTGATACTTTCACTATTTAACAAGCAGATCTATATAGGTTGATGTTATATCATCACACCACATCACATCAACATTATGTCTGCATCACATCAATCAATGTCTGCATCACATCAATGTCTGTATCACATCAATGTCTGCATCATACCCATTCTTGCAACACATCAATGTCGGTATAATCAATGTGTGCATCACATCAATGTCTACATCACATCAATGTCTGTATAATCAATGTGTGCATCTCATCAATGTCTGTATAATCATTGTGAGAATCACATCAATGTCTACGTCACATCAATGTCTGCATCATACCCATTCTTGCAACATGTCAATGTCGGTATAATCAATGTTTGCATCACACCAATCTCTGCATCACATCAATGTCTGTATAATCAATGTGAGAATTACATCAATGTGTGCATCACATGAATGTGTGCATCACATCAATGTGTGCATCACATCAATAACTGCATCACATCAATGTCTACGTCACATCAATGTCTGTATAATCAATGTGAGAATCACATCAATGTCTGTGTCACACCAATTCTTGCAACACATCAATGTTGGTATGATCAATGTCAATCACATCAATGTCTGCATCCTATCAATGTCTGCATCACAACAATATCTACTGTACATAATCAATGTTAGCATAAATCAATGTTTGTTGCACATCAATGCACTAACTCTTAACAGTGTTGAAGATTGAATTTAGCAATACCGGAAGGGGATGCAAATAAATAGAATGTCCCAATAAGAGAAGACACTGCTATACTTGCCTAGTGGTAAAAATAAGCATATGTCATATAACACATTTAAAAGTCTAAACAATTGATGAAATAACTTATGAACAGCATTGACAGCAAGCATACACCCAACACACAGGTGAATGAATTAGTACGAAATAGTCTAGGAGTCAAAGAATACTGGTTATGTTGCACACAACTACTGTTACAGTAAAAACATAGCAGAAGTGGTCAGAAAGAGAAAGAAAACAGGTATGATGTATATACAGACAACCAATCTAGACTCTACCCTACAATCTGACTAACAGTTTTCAAAAAGCAATTTAGTCGAATACAAATTCATATTCAGTTATAATTATTAAAATGAATTTTATAATTAGTGAATGAAATGTGAATTATTTACTCACTTTCGTGGTTTCAATCGGTGTTGTTTTTTCCTCCGTTGGAGACGATGATGTTGGAAGAACCCTCGGTGGCTGCGTTCCTCGTTCCAGAGTGCTCCCAGTTTTACGTAATTTTGGTTGTCCATTTTTAAAAATATCTCCAAAGCCCATTCCCATCGCCTTTTTGGGCTTGGTATCTCCTTCTGAGGTTTGTGACGGTGGAGGCGGGGGAGGTTGCTTAGGTTCTGATTTGAAAAATACAATTATTGTTTATAATTTCATCAGAATCCACATGCTATTCACATTAGTGAGGTTGAACGTAGAATATATTGGTGCATTTCTAGATTGTATTGAGCAGAGAAAAAAAAGCTTCTGGTCAATGCACTTCATTAATGTGAGTGCCTGTTTTTAGTCCCCATTTGAATGCAGTCACAAAGATCTGTTGGAAATGTACGATCTAGGAACTGTCTGATGAAACTGTTACCAGTATACTGAAAATACCCGGTAATACTTTATATTTTGAAATTTTTTAATTCAAATTTTGAATCACTTTTTTTGATAAAAATCCATTTAAGCATCAGCAGTTCTATTTATGTTGCAAATTCTATCTTAGATGCTGTCTTATGGTATTTTCCAATTTAAAGAACTCAATTCCTCTATCTATGAAGAGAAAGTAACAGCAGTAACCTTGAACATTCCACCTTGAAAATTCAAATTGCATATTCACAATGTTTTGAATTTCAAAAAATAATGAATGAAATAAATGACTGCATGGTCGCAAAAATGGAGAGCTAGAGTTACTATAGGTAACGCATTCCCACATAAAAATACCTTTTTAAAACAATTAAAAAAAAGAAATCTGTAAACAATACAAAAAATCTAATTACATTGTATTTTATCTAATTTATACCACTGACCATGTCGTCCTGTCGTGTGTCTATTCATCCTTGTAACATTTAAAAGATGCTGATCATAATGTGGATATATTTGGAACAGTAAGGTACGAGGTGCGATTACCCGATACTTACAATTTTGCTGATCATGTGGTCTAAGTGTGTCGCATACGGTATATACAGGTGGTTCGCTTCATGAGAGTATGCCAGAATGAGGTTGTTTTTATTTTGGACTGCGCTAGATTGGACATTATCTTAGCTGATTAGTTAATACTCTTACAAGATAATTTGCAGTACTGGTGTCTAAGTCTTATTTATGTGCTAGGAATAAGGTATCTTTGAAAGTATTTAACCAACCTTTTAGTTCTGCTTTTGCTTTTTCATCTTCATCTTCCTCGACCACTTCAACAAAGTTTGACGGAAAGACACCAACTCTGCCGTTGATCGTACCTTCCCACCATCCCGGCTCCTCTTGATTTATAACTTCAATGGTATCACCGATTTTAAGCCCAAGCTCGTCGTCATTTTGAGGTGTATAACTGTAACACGCCTTTGCTCGTAGTGACCTAATTTTGTCAGCACCTCCTATAAATAGAAAAATTTAATATTTATATACTCAAACATTCTATTATTTATAAAATAGTGGAGTTGTGGTTTATTATATTAATTAACAACTAAGTCAGTAGAGTCAGTACTGCAATAGGGTCTGGTCAAACCCATGTTTGTTTTTATTACTAGAGGATGCTTACGCGTGTAATCATTCCATATTTGGAATTCGCATTTCCTTATATGGTAGAATGAAAATACCCTGTAAAATACCGCAAAATTACGGCACGCTGTAACTTATGGCGTTACGGTGACAGATGTATAATAAAATTAAAACGTTAAACTACCTCGTTTTGTGACTGGTTTGTTTACTTTATTTTTTTCTTCCTCTTCTATGGTGAGGTGTGTTCTTTCATTTGCGACTTTCGTTGGAGGTGGAGTCTGTTCTTTTGTTAACTGAAAACAAATAACACATTTATGACATTGTACGTGAACTTAAGGTAGAAGCTAACTCATAATTTTTGACAAAATGAGTCATAAATGCGTTTATTATGTACAGTCATGAAGCTAATGTCCCAAGGTACAATGAAATAGCATTATTTTGTGTGTTACAGTTAAGCTTTTTGGGAAATGTGTCTTAATATTTCTTGAAAATTGCTATTTTTAGAACAATTCTATAGAACACAATGTTAAAAAAAATTGCATTTGTTGACACTTTTTAAAACCCAGACTTTTTAAATAATTGAGAACAACAAAAAGTACTCCATCATTAGCACTATATGATTTTTTCAGCCCATGTCACCAGGTTAAATTTTGAGATATTGCATAATATCCCTGCCATAGGAACCTATGATAAAAGTGTTATAATAGTGTCAAAATGGCGACTTTCCACTAAAATACAACCATCATTTTCTCGAAAAAAAGGCTGGTGACCCCAAACTTTTTTTAGGTCAATAATCTTGCATTGCCTTGAAGTACAAAATTGCAAAATGAATAAATTCTGGGTATTTTAATTTATGAGTAGGCTTCTACCTTAAGGGAAAAATTACAGATGTACCCAATTATAGCGGTAAATTAAAGTTGTATCATCAAGTATATTTTGTATGTTTGGAGCATTTGACATATGAAGTAGTCTCAGAAGTGTGGTATACTAAATACAGCAATCGTAAATAATCTTTCTCACTATACTTGTTTTTGTTTATATATATTTGTTTGTTTAAATCTAATGTCTTAACGAATAATCAAGCAGAGAAGCTTGAGAAGGGAATTTTGGGTAATACGTCTGGCGACCCAGGTAATGGACTTATCAGCTGACTTTCAGCCAATCAAGATGGTGTCATAATGCATATACTGTGCAATTAAACCCCTGATCATACCTGGTACAATTATTAATGAAATAAACTGGAAGAATGGTTACTAATGTATCGCCAGACACTTTCGGAATTTTTATTTTCATATTCAAAAGTTAAAGAAATAGATAGTTATAGATAGTTATAATGAACAATGTGATGATTTCACAGCAGGTGAGTTTTACAATGTTTTTCCAGAGAAGTATACAATGAAAGATTCAGAAAAAATTAAAAATAAATGCTACCGATCAATTTATTTGGATTTTCAGCCCTCAAGTTGCTGTGCATAATACCAATAATTCAGCCATCAGGTTTTGACTTCACTTGGTCGGAACTAGAACTTCCTAGGCTCACACAGATTATATCAATCTCTGTTGTTACTGAACTAGAACTCCCTAGGCCCACACAGATTATCTCAAACTCTCTTGTTACTGAACTAGAACTCCCTAGGCCCACACAGATTATCTCAAACTCTGTTGTTACTGAACTAGAACTCCCTAGGCCCACACAGATTATCTCAAACTCTCTTGTTACTGAACTAGAACTCCCTAGGCCCACACAGATTATCTCAAACTCTGTTGTTACTGAACTAGAACTCCCTAGGCCCACACAGATTATCTCAAACTCTCTTGTTACTGAACTAGAACTCCCTAGGCCCACACAGATTATCTCAAACTCTGTTGTTACTGAACTAGAACTCCCTAGGCCCACACAGATTATCTCAAACTCTCTTGTTACTTGACTAGACTTCCCTAGGCCCACACACATTATCTCAAACTCTGTTGTTACTGAACTAGAACTCCCTAGGCCCACACAGATTTTCTCAAACTCCTGTCACTGAACTAGACTTCCCTAGGCCCACACAGATTATCTCAAACTCTGTTGTTACTGAAGTAGAACTCCCTAGGCTCACACAGATTATTGGGAAACAATACCGACCTTTTGATGCCTCACTTTCAGGTTCATTAGAATTTTGTACAAACCGCTCTTGGGTTTGAGGAAGCCCTCATAACACAACATTTCATTTTTTTTAGCATAGGTCACGGAACCAAATTTTGAGATATGATAAGATATGATGAAATGTTTCTACCATAGAAACCTCTTGTAAACTATTCAAAAATGTTCAAGTTGGTTTTGTGGGTAACTTAGATCGATAAGCATAATAATGTTTTTCTATCAGAATTTTGAACATTTTAGTAACTCAATCCTCTTGCTGGATTTTGAGAATTTCTGAATATTTAATGGTGGCAAACTAGCTTAAATAAGCTCACCACTGACATGGAATGTGTCAACTACTGATGAAAACACTTCATCAATACTGGATTTGTATAGGGATTATTGTTCAGGGCCATGCATCCCTGTGGACACAGAACTAAAACATCTACCTCAACTACAGGTACCAAGCTCAAAACCAGATATAGCTTAATCAACTAATAGCTGATTAACAACTTAGCTTGATTTTAATATAGCTAATCTTAATTTTAATCAAAGAAAGCTTAGAAAGAACTCCCATGTGCTGAGAGTATTGGAGACACATTAAATATAATTCAAAATTACTTGTCAGAGATAGTGATAGTGATGGAAAAGCCGAAAACTAATAATGAAAATCAGAAAATTAATATGAACAGATTTTAATGGAAAACTAATGAGGTCTGCGCAATATAACAGACCATCTATGTACCAAGTTTTATTGAAATGTGATTGGAACCAAAAAAAAATTATAAATTATTATGCTAATTAGGGAATTAATATAAACAGATTTTAACCCCAAACTAATCAGGTTTGTACATTGTCCTAGAGCATTTTTGCACTAAGTTTCATTAAAATGGAATAATTAGTACTTTAGATATCAGTGTGATAGCTTAAAAGCTCAAAACAATTATTTTTACCATAAAACTAATCAGGTCTCTGGATAGTCCTAAAGGATCTATGTACCAAGTTTCATTGCAATGTGATAATTAGTACTTGAGATATCTGTGGAAAAGCTGAAAATTAACTAATTATGCAAATTAGGTAATTAATATGCACAAATATTTATCCCAAAACAATCAATCTCTGCATAGTCCTTGAGTATCTATGTACCAAGTTTCATTGAAATGTAATGCTTACTACTTGAAACATCAAAAGCTGAAAATTAATTAATTATGCAAATTAGGTAATTAATATGCACTGACATTACCCTAAAATCTATCAGGTCTGTGCAGTGTCCTATGACATCTATGTACCAAGTTTCATTGAAATGTGATGATTAGTACTTGGGATATCAGTGGAAAAACCAAAAATTGACTACCGGTAATCATTATGCAAATTAGGTTATTAGTAATTAGGTAATTTTTACCAAAAACTAATTAAAACCAAGCATTAGTTCAGAGCATCCATGTACCAAGTTTCATCAAAATCCAATAAGTGGTTCTTTAGATATCAATGGAACAGTCATGGAACAGCTAAAAATTAGCTTATTATCATGCAAATTAGGTAATTAATATGCATAAAATTTTACCAAAACCTAATCAAATCTGCGCATTAGCCCAGAACATCTATGCACCAAGTTTCATCAAAAACTGATGTATGGTTCTTGAGATATCAGTGGGACAGACGGACACACACACACACACACACACAGACACACTAACCGCAAAGACTCCCATTTTGTGCTTCGCACATGGGAGTCAAAAATGACAGATATATTTAGATACAGTGATGTAATCATATTTAATCATAATTAAATATTATTATTATTAAATATTTGTAATTTTTTTCTGAGAGATGATGTACTAATATTAACAACACTAAATGGTACAATGCAGTGAAAACACAACTAACAAACACCAGCTCACATTTTAAATACTACAATGTACATGTATTACACCTTTTATAGGTATATATAGGCAAATAACAATCCAGAAAAACAATTCAAACAATTCAATATTGTACTATAAAAAAAAATAATCAAACAGATAAACTAAGAACCTACAAAAATTTCAAATATGACAATAAACTAGAATACCTTACCAAACTAGAAGACATTGAATTACATGAATGAATGAGAAGATTTTGATTAGGCAACCACTGTTTGAAGATTGAAACAGATAGACACACAAAACCGAAAACCCCAGCTGAAAACAGGATTTGTGAATTATGTGCTGAAGGGGGGAAATGAAAGATGAATTCCATTTCATTCTATCTTGTCCCTTACCCTGGTTTATTTATAAACAGCAAAGAAAATGACTATATGAAGTATCTTCAAAAACCATCCCTTGTTTTATGAATCAAGACGAGAAAACTAAATTTATTTTGATAATGAACAAAAATAACATAATTACTGAAAAAGCAAAATTTCTTAAATGTAACTTTTCTTCAAGGCAGCTACATCAAATCATATTAAATAGACAGCAAGTTTTTTTTTATTATTATTTCTTTTGGATGTCTGTTACCTTTTTTTTGTTTTTTTCATCACAGTCCCTCTATCACTGTGTTGTTGTACAACTTTAGTGACCTCACTGATGTTCACTCCAGAGACAGTGTTGAGTCTAATATATATGTAACATGAACACAGTTTAAAAACTGATACAATTACTATAGATCATATCAATATTTACTGTGGGGTGTTCACCAGAGAGGTTCACTCCTGTGCCTATGAATTTACATAGGCATTCATTTGCAATGATCTCTAAGGAAAATTCATGAACATGCTTGTAGCTACTTAAATATGCATTATTAAACTGGGGAGAAGGAGAAAACCAAAACTACCAGCAGCAGAAAGAGTCTGTAAAAAATGTGATCAAGGCGATATTGAGGATGAAAAACATTTTCTTTTGAGCTGCTCACATTTTGAAAATGAAAGAAAAATCCTCCTGAAAAACTGTGAAATTACCTCAAGTGAAAAGAACAAAGACATAATATTCTTAAAAATTATGAAAAATAACATTGCTCTGTCTTTATATCTTAAAAATACCATATACAAAGCATCGCCTTTGTAAACCCCTGGGTAGGGAGAACCTTTACCTTTACTTTATTTACTGTATTTTTATTACTTTCTGATTTTTTGTAGTTATTAGAACTTTTAAATTTGTAGTTACGTTTAGTTGCTTTATTTTACACTATTTT